TCTCTACAGGGGGATACGTGAGAGCCTGCCTCCGCTCGTGGGCGTTGTCACGCAGTTTCATGCTTGGTGGCACATCTTCACGGGACTCGGTTCCTACCTTCACATCCTGTTCAGGTATGTTCTCTTTCCTTTCCCAGGGGTTTCAAGGGGAAGGGGAGGAACTTCCTGCTCAAAAGTACAGCTGATCGGTCTCAGCTGTTTAATGACCAGGAACAAAGACATGATGAGCACAGGAGCATCGTAGCATCTTTGAGAAGATGAGGGATTTACACAACAGGATGGATGGATGGATGGATGGATGGATGGATGGATGGATGGAGAGGGAAGGAAGATGGATGGATGGACATTGGAGAAGGATGGATGGATGGATGGACATTGGAGAGGGAAGGAAGATGGATGGATGGATAGATGGATGGACATTGGAGAAGGATGGATGGACATTGGGGAGGGAAGGAAGGAAAGTGGATGGATGGATGGATGGATAGACATTGGAGAAGGATGGGTGGATAGACATTAGAGAAGGATGGATGGATGAACATTGGAGAAAGATGGATGGACATTGGAGAAGGATGGATGGATGGACATTGGAGAAAGATGGATGGACATTGGGGAGGGAAGGAAGGAAGGTGGATGGATGGATAGACATTGGAGAAGGATGGATGGATGGATAGAAATTAGAGAAGGATGGATGGATGAACATTGGAGAGGGAAGGAAGGAAGGTGGATGGCTGGATGGATAGACATTGGAGAGGAAAGGAAGGAAGGAAGGAGGGGGGATGTGTGGATGGATGGACATTGGAGAGGGAAGGAAGGAAGAAGGGTGGATGGATGGACAGACATTAGGGAAGAGAGGAAGGAAGGATCACAGCCTCATATCTGGTCTCAGAGGGGGGAGTTGAGTTCCAGAGGAGACCAGGCAGTGATGTTGACTCAAATTGATTTATCCAAAATGTTTCTTTTAATCTTCTTTTCTCCCCTTTCTTCTTCTGATTCTAGTTTATATTCCCGGACGCTTTACCTGAAATACAGGCCAAAGGTCAAGGTAAGTTACTAAAGACTCCGTCCAAGCGGGCTTTTCCCCCTTCCTCCTAATAGTTAAAGGCTTCTTAGGTAAACCTGAAGTAGTGGATAAGTGATTTTTTTATTTTTTTATTTATTGTAGAGAAAAACAAAAGTTACGGCATACATAGAATCTGCAGAGTCAATATAACATTGAGAAGAAGATTTAAGGGCTTCCAGCATCCAGAAATCTATATTTATTTTCTTTGATTGCGTTGAAAGATTTTATCACGTTTCATGCTTGCGTTTGCTATGCCAACATTTGCAGAATAAACAGTGTCTGTTTCCCCCCTGAGAATTTGTTGAGTTGTAATTTTATCACAAAGCCCCTCAGCTTAAAAGACATCTGAGAAAGTAAGGAAGCCAACAGGGAAGATTCCCAGCTATGCAGTTTGATTTTACTAGTAGAGGTAGTCCTCAGCTTACGACCACAATGGTAAGCCCGGAATCTCCACTGCTAAGCGAAACAAGTGCATTTTGCCCCCTTTTGCGACCTTCCTTGCCCCTGTTGTTAAGCGAATCACTGCAGTTGTAACATTTGTCGCACAGTTGTTAAGCAAATCCAGCTTAGATGCTTGTCCGACGGTCGCAAAAGGGGATCACGGGACACACTGTGACCATCATAAATATGAATCGGTTGCCAAGTGCCCGAATTTTGATGATGTGACCATGGGGGGATGCTGCAACGGTCGTAAGGGTGAAAAATGGTTGTAAGCCCCTTTTTCAGTGCCGTTGTAATTTCCAGTGGTCACTAAACGAACTGTTGTAAGTCAAGAACTACCTGTAACTCCAAATTGGATTCTAGTTTGGTTAAGGCAGCCTATCAAAAGGTCTTTAGGGCGGTGATGGCGAACCTATGGCATGCATACCACAGGTGGCTCGCAGAGCCATGTGTGCGGGCACGCGAGCCCCAGTCAAACTTACCTGCGCATGCATGCGTCCCCCAGCTGGTTTTCGGCCCATTTGAGGCCATTTTCACCCTCAGAGGCTCGAGGGAAGCCTCTGCAGCCTCGGGAGGCCGAAAAACAGGCCTTCGGGAAATACCGGAAGTGATGAAATGGGCCCGTTTTTCGGCCTTCCGCGGCTTCAGAGGCTTCCCTCGAGCCCCCGGGAGGGCGAAAACAGGCTCCCACGAGCTCCAGAGGCCCTGGGCCGTATCGAACAAAAAGAAATTCGACGTAGAGGAAAGTAAAGTCTTACACTTAAAAGTCCACATATAGACTGGGTGAAACCAGGCTCAATAGCAGGAACTGGGAGAGGGATCTTGGAGTCTTAGTGGACAACCAGCTAAATAGGAGCCAGCCGTGTGCAGCAGCAGCAGCCCAAAAAGCCAATGCAATCTTAAGTTGCATTCACAGAGAGATACAATCAAGATCAAGGGAGGTCCTAATACCACCCTATAAAGCCTTAGTAAGACCACACCTAGAGTCCTGCATCCAGTTTTGGTCACCACACTATAAAAAAGATGTTGAGGCTCTAGAAAGAGTGCAGAGAAGAGAAACCAGGATGATTAAGGGATTGGAGGCTAAAACATATGAAGAACATTTGCAGGAACTGGGCCTGGCTAGTCTAGGGAAGAGAAGGACCAGGGGAGACATGATAATGGTCTTCCAATATTTGAGGGGCTGCCCCAGAGAGGAGGAAGGGGTCAAGCTATTCTCCAAGGCCCCCAAAGGCCAGACAAGGTATAATGGATGGAAACTGAACAAGGAGAGAGATTCAACCTGGAAATAAGGAGAAACTTTCTGACAGGGAGAACAATCAACCGATGGAACAGAAGTTGCCTTCGGAAGTTGTGGGAGCTTCATTCCTGGAGGCTTTCAAGAAGAGACTGGAATGCCATCTGTCAGAAATGGTGTAGGGTCTCCTGCTTGGGCAGGGAGGGTTGGACTAGATGACCTATAAGGTCCCTTCCAACTCTGATTATCGGTTATCTCTTATCCGGAGGCTGAAAACAAGCACTTCTGGTATTTCCGGAAGGCCCATTTTTCAGCCTCCAAAGGCTGCAGAGGCTTCCCTCGAGCCTCCAGAGGGCGAAAACGGCCTCAAAAGGGCCCTAAGTCAGTTCGGAGACACGCGCATGCGCAGTGCAGGTCAGGGGACAGGGGGCAGGGGTGTTGCGCAGGGGGGGCAGGGCACATTGCATTGTGGGTGCCGGCACACTCACACTTTTGGCACACCACCATAAAAAAAATTTCGCCATCCCTGGGTCTTGAGGCTCTTAAAGTAATGAATTGTATAACCGATGAAAATTTGAATGACAGGTAATCCTCGGCTTACGACCATTCATTATGTGACCGTTGGAACTTAACAATGGCCCTGAATAAAAAGGGACTGACTGAACGCCTGTTTTTCACACTTTACGACCGTTGCAGCCCCTCCGTAGCCACATGCTCAAAATTCAGGCGCTTAGCAACCGACTCCTAGTTACGACGGTTGCGATCCCCCTTTTGGGGGCAAGCAAAGTCGGTGGGGGAAAGACAGATTCACTTAACAACCGGGTGACTTCTTCGGCAGTCGACCTAACACGCATGGCAAGGAAAGTCGGTAAAATGGGGCAAAAACTCACCCGCTGTCTCCCTTAGCAGCAGAAATTCAGGTCTCAATTGTGGTCTTAAGTTGAGGACTACCTGTATTCCCCCTCCCCCACTGGTGAACCAACCTATATTGTATACTAGCTGCTTCACTACGTGCTTCACTACGAAACTATGTGGTCAGGCTTAGTTTTTGGGGAGGAAAATAAGAGGGGGAAAAAATTCTGCCTCTGCCTACCAGCATCCATCGGTATCCATCTGGCTAGCATCCTGTCAGTGTGTGAGAGAGTTGAGGGCTGTTTGGAAACTGAAGCAGTATTTGTTGTGTGCGCAAGGAGACAGCAAGGAGCCTGGGCGTGGCTTAGCTCAACTGTTCTGTACTAAAAGCTGCTTGGTGCTGTGAAAGTGAAACTCCTCTGCTTGTGTTTTGCATTAGGAGCAGATTTCTTCTCAGGTGGGGAGGGGGAGTAGAACTCCTTAGCATCAGAGCGTGTTAATAATAATAATAATAATAATAATAATAATAATAATAATAATAATAATA